AATATTATGTATATATTATATATATATTTCATATATTATATATATATATATATATATAATATATGAAATTTAGATAATTTTTAAAAGAAAAAGAAAGAAACTTGATGTAGACAAGTGATTTTTCTCATTGATACAGTGTATTATATATATAGGAAAATATAAATAATCTTGATTATTTTTTACATATTTGTAGATTTTTCAAATATTTATGAATATATAATAATTATTCAATATAAAATTTCTTTATAATATAAAGAAAAAATGTTAGAACATTTTTGTCTACATCAAGATAAACTTACATCGAATGATAGATCTTCAGTTGTTTCTCCTTTAAAAGGATAAATAGCAGTAACAATATTATCTGGAACATCAGGCATTGGTATTTTTATATCAATAAAATTAATAGGAAATATTCCTTGTTGATTTCCTATTCTACCCTCCATCCAATCTTCATTAATTTTTTTTATTAAATATATTATATCACCTTCTTTGAAAGATAAATCGCCCACATGTGTTAATGGAAAATCATATAATGCAATTCCATAAGGTTCTTCATTATTAATCTAAAAATAAAAAATAGAAAAATGTAAATTATTTTGATAAAAATTATAATATAAGTTGAATAACTTACTGAAGAATCATTATTCATTTCTGTTAAATATTCTAATGGTGGTGCAGGTGGTGGAATTGTGGGCATTGGTGGCGAAGGACTATCTTTTAAATCATTTTGCCATGAATTAGTTAAATCCAATGTCATTGGCTTAGTCAAAGACATTATTTTATTTAAACATTTTGAATTAATTTCAATATTATTTATTTTTTGTTCTTTTTTTATTTGTAGAATTTTTGGTGCTGGTGGTTTTGGAGGTTTTGCACGGATTATAGTTGGCATTGATTGAGTATTTTTGAAAGATGTCCGATTGTAAATCATTTGATTATTAGTATGATTATTTGTATTGAAAGCAAAAAAACATGCATCTCCTACATGTTTTATAGATTGTAGTGTATTACAATTAGTTACTTCTAATGGTTCAAATGGATCTATTACTGAATTAATTTTCCATGGATCACTTTGCAATGTTTTTTTAGTAGATATTCCAAAAAGATCAAAATCATCTTCAAAAGCACTTTCAGTTTGAGATGTGTTTCCACTACTTGTAAATGCAGAGAGATTTGAGTTTCCATCACTGCCAAAACTATCAATGCTAATACCATCACTACTTGATCGAATGGTAAATGTTGGAGATCCAGGTGGACTAAAATCTATTAGACAAACTGATCCATTTATCTTTTCTGATACTGTATTCTGTTCTTGATTATTTAATTGTGTTATACTTGAATTGTCATTTTTTTTTCTTCCAAAAAAATTAGTTAGAAGCTCTGTTGGTTTTGTCTGTTAATTATATAAATATAATATAATATAATAATAATATATATAAATAATATTAAATATTTAATAATTAAATTTAATAATAATATTGATTAATTATTTATTAATTATAAAGTATTCATTTAATAGATATCAACATACTGATTTTTTATACTTTTCCCTTTGTGTTTGTGAATAATTTTGATTAAACTTTGGTGGTGGTGGCCGAGGAGGTGGTTTTTTCTTTTGAATAGGTTGTCGTATTATTGAAGATCCAAAAACATTATTTCTATATAAATCAAAAAAATTAATTAAATTTTTAGGTAAAATAAATAAATTTAAATTTTTACATAACATGACAAGAATATTCATATGTGCATATTTAGAAGTGTATTACATAAAAATACACAAAAATATATGTATAAGAAAAATATTTACTAAAAAAATTATAAAGAAATATAAAAAATATATTAAATTATAATATTAAACTTACGTGCTATTCCAATTAATCTTTCTTTGTGCTGTTGAACTAATGGGTGGAGGAGGAGGAGCAGAACGTGTAGGAATTCGCATTTCTGAAAGCAAATCATAAAATGAAGCGATATTTTAAAAGGATTTTCGATAAGATCCGTTACAGCATAACATATGAGCAAACACTCATTATATATTCTCTTTTATATATTTATGCATGCAAATTACTGGATACAAATAAAATGGAATTTATAAAAATAATATCTGTATTCACAACAATACAGTTTTTACGTTTCAATAATACGTCTACTAAAGTATCAAATATCTTTTGACGCGATACGAATTAAATAAAAATATAAATAGAGGCGGTGTGATAATTAAAAATTTAACAAATCACAGTATATATTCGTATGTGAATAAAAAACATGACGTAATAATGTTTAATTACGATATCAAATATGTAAATAAAAAATTATGATATTTTTATTTAATTATATAGATATTTCTTTGAATTAAACAGATTGATTAATTTTTTTAAATAAAGATTAATGCTATTGACAGGTTTGTACATACTACTCACCTGTTTTTACGTTTGCGGCCATTTTTCATTGAATACGATTGCAACTACATCTTAAATTATAACACGATTCTTAAAATAAATTGATTGAATAACAATTAATTTTCGTAGTTCGATTAGTTAATAATTTATATATCAATCGAAATCTTATTGAATGCAAATCGAAAAAAATATCAATTGTTTTTTAACTGTTTTATGTCATTATATTTTAATGATTTCACTTGTTAAGAAAAAGGAAAAACTGCATTAGTAATGTTTAATTTTTAAAATTATAAATAACATGCCTGTTTTGAATCTTATATATTTCATAATGAAATTGTTAGTTACTATTGCTTATTGTTATATTTTAAATATGTATAAAACACACACATATATATATATATATATATATATGGGAAAGCTTTTAAAATTAATATAATTATTAAATTATCTTTGACGAATCAC